AGGCATACTCATACAAAAAAACCCAACAAACCAAACAACCCCACAGAACAAAAAAATAACAAATACGACCTAAACTCAACACCTCAAACAAAAATAAATTCAAACCAGACCACAGATCTAAATGTAAAATGTCAAACTATAATACGCTTAGAAGGAAGGATAGGAGAAAAATCATTGTGACTTGAACTTAGGCAGGGTCCTTAGATATGACACTGAAAGCATTATCCATAAAAGAAAATATTGATGAATTGGACTTCTTCAAAAGGTAAGACTTTTGCTTTGTGAAAGAGTGTTAAGAGAATTAAAATTGTAAGCCTACAACTGGGAGGAAATATGGACAAGCCACATACACACAAGACTTGTATCCAGGATAGATTAAGAACTCTCAAAACTGAGCAGTGAAAAAAGAAAAAAAAATAACTCAATCAAAAATGGGCAAAGATATAAACACACACTTCACCATCAAAGATACACAAATGGAAAATAAACACATGAAAAGATACTCACCATCATCAGCTATTAGGGAAATGCAAGTAAAAACCAGCATCAGAATTATTAAAATAGTTTTCTATTGCCACTGTAACATTACCACAAACTTAGCAGCTTAAAACAACACAAATTCACTGTCTTACAGTTCCATAATTCTGACATGAATCTTGCTGGACAAAAAGCAAAAAGCAAGGTGTCGGCAGGACTGCGTTGCCCTCTGGAGGTTCTAGAGAAGAGTCTGTTTCCTGGCTTTTTCCAGCTCCTGGAGGCTGCCTGCACCTTGGCCGGGGGCCCCTTCGTACACCCTCAAAGCCAGTGCTGACGGGGCTTCTGCTGCTGAGCAGCCCAGTTTGCTCCATAGTGACTTTGTTTCCCCTGTCACACCTTTTCTCCACCTCCTACCCTTCTGACTCCATTTACAAGAACCCCTGTGGGTCCACTTGGATAACGCCATGTAATTTCCCCATTTTAAGGTCAGCTCATTAGTAACCTTAATTCTATCTGCAAAGTTCCTTTTGCCATTTAAAGTACCATATGGGTGGCCAGGGGACAAAGGGCATGGGGACCAAAAACCCTGCCTGCCACTGGTACTTCCTTATTAAGTAACCATGTGACCCACACTCAGGGTTTTATCCTAGAGAGATGAAAAATGTTTATACAAGAACCTACGCAGGTTCATGGCTTCAGTCCTTCTCTGTTACGTGGCCCTCTGTCCCTTCCAACTGCCCTTCTACTTTATGTGCAGCCACCTTCCCCATGAAAACACCGCTCACTCAGTAGTCAACCCCTCTTAGTCCCTGCACTTCGGTGTCCGTGAGACAACAGGCCCCTTCTCTAAAGATGAGGGCTGGGGATTGGATTTTCCTGTGCAGCTCTGGTTGAGAAGGGCAAGATTTTGTATTCTGGAATGAAAGCAGCAGACCTCAGAGCACGGGGCTCTGGAGGGGAGCTGTTAGGAGGCACCAAGCCTATTTATTTTGTACCTTGTAAGTGGCCCCTTTTCCTTTACTTACAAGTCTGGTCTTAGGTGCAATGAGGCCATCTACTGCTAGGTCCAAACCCCATCGGCCAGACCCTGCCCCGTACAGAGTTCATACTCAGCTCTAAAAGGTTCCCTGTTCAGGTCACTGGCCCTAACTCGGCAGGCATTTTAATCCACAATGGAATGTGGCAGCCAAAAGAGCTAATGCCATCTTAGGCTGCATCGAGGGACACATTGTTCAGAAGAAGAATGAGGCCGAGTCCCACATGCCTGGGGCGGGCTGGGCCATGCCAGCCCTGAGCTGAGTCCTGAGACTCACACAGAAACTGGCAGATTTGATCGCAGAATGGTGATCAAGGGGGGAAAGAATTTCAAAGTCCTGCTGAGCTGATGATCAAGCAACTGAGTTTGTTTAACGGTAGGGGAAGAAAGATGACTTATGGCAGAAAAAGTAAGGATCTTTGGCTTTATTTACTGTGCTATGGGGGAGAAGTTAGACATGTTCTGTGTGGCGGAGGAGAGGAAGGAGACACACAGAAGACAGCACAGCAGGTGCCAGGAGGCTGGGATTCGGCGGGACTCTGGGCAGCCCCGCTGCACACCTCAGGGCCAGGCTTTCTGGATGGAGAAGATGACACCACCTTCCTCCTTTGGGAAGAATTGCTTGATACACTATTTCTGAGACTTAGCACAGTTCTGGCAATAAAAACTGCATTACAAATGGTAAGACAGCATCAGTAACAGGCGAAAGACCTTTTTAACACAAGGAACAACTGTCCAGCAATGACAGCTGCCCCTCACCTGAGCTGCCTGGGGAGGAGGCTGTACGGGGCTGGGGCACGTGCAGGCATGAGGCTGAGGTCCTTCCTACAGCAGCTCTCTGGCCCCCCACCTTCTGTTCAAAGCCTGCCCGTCTTTAAGGCCCAGTGCCAATCTCTCTCTTTCCTGAGATGCCTGTTGACTATGCTAACCCTCCCCAAATTCCACAAACTCTTAAATTGTGGTTGCAGATTTCATAATCAAGCCCTTGCTTAAATGGCAAGCTCCTCCCTTGAGGACAAGGAGTACAGCTCCCATGTCCCACCGCATCCCGGGCACTCTGCTCGCGGCAGCGAGGAGGGAAGGACACAGGCCACTGGACTGGCTCCTCTCCGGGAACACAGGGCCAGCCCAGGGCCCTGCCTCTGAAGGGAGGCCGTGCAGTCCGGCTGCCATCGCTCCCCCCGCCTTGTAAACAAGATTCACTGAGCTATAATTTACATGCTATATGAATACTGCCCATTTAAATTGGATAATTGGTTGTTTATTAATAAATCCATAGTTATCTGACCACCACAATCTACTTTTAGAATGTTTGGTTCCCCCTAAAAGGAACCCCCATACCTATTCATTCACTCCCCAACATGTACCCCAGCACACAGCACCCCACCCCCTACCCTGCACTGACCTCCTTTCTGTCTTTATAGATGTGTCTCTTCTGGCTATTTCCTATAACTGGAACCATGCATGGTGTTTTCTTTTGTGACTGGCTCCTGTCTTAGGCATAAATATTTTGAGATTCATCTATGGTGCATGTGTCAACTTCTCACTCTCTTGTGGCTCAGCCAGACTCCATTGTCCGGATGCGCTGCAATTTGTTCATTCTCTCCAATGCTGAGGGACATTTGAGTTGCTCACAATAACCCTAGGAGGTGGGCAGGGCAGAGGACATTCCCATCTGACAGACGAGACTGCTGAGGCCTCTCTGCTCAGAAACACCAGCAAGGTAATGGCAGGGCCGGGACAATGCAGGTGCCCTGGCGCCCAGGCTCTTCCCGTTCTCCCAGGCCAGCCTCGCACTACATTCTCTCTCACGGCCAATGTCCTCTGCTCTCTCTGCCCCCACGGTGCTGACCCACAGTTCTGGGACGTTGACAGGGCTTGTGTGGCCTTGCTATAGCAGTGGCCCAGATGATAGTGCTGCCCACATGCCTGCCCCGCTCGTGCTGTAGAGAGGAGGAAGGGGCCAGGGGAAGCTCGGACAGCCCAGGGCAAATGCAGAAACTGCTGCTCCTGCCAGTCAGTGCTCACAGACACAGGACCACGTCCCACCCACACCTGGCTCAGGCGCTTGGGCCAGATGGCACAAAGAGCATCTAGGCGTGCTCCCTGTCTGTGGCCACATGCTCTGTGAATGAGGCCCCAGATGGACCTCTGAGTTTTGCTGATAGCATGTGGGTCAAGACCAGAGAAGATGAGAAGGTGTCACGCTGCACGCATCCTTGAACCCCACCTGTAGTTCACCAGGCCAAGTAATGGGTCCTGAGCTAGACAGGACCTTACAGGTGGGCAGGCTGTGGTTAAGACTGATGGTTGAGCGACGTGTCCTGAGTGGCCCAATGGCTCCACAGAGCTCCTCCTTCTCAGCCCTGCTTCCCTCCCCAACCTGTCATTCTGCATTTTCTGCCATCACAGGTTCATTTTCATGAGCACGTCAACATGAGCTATTGTGGGGGGGGAATTCCCACTAGCAGTGGGCCTGGGGATAGCTATGGGGGGACCCAAGGGGCCCCTCACGGAGCTCCGTGAAGGTATCTCTATGTTTAAGGCCAGGCCGGGCTGTGAAAGGGCAGCAGGAAGCCCAGGGAAGCAGGCGGGCACGGCGCTTGCCCAGGAGAACTGTGTTGTTCTGGGAGCATCAGCTACTGGAAGGAGGCCGCTCTTCCAGAGCCTTCTCCAGGCAGCAGGTCCAGGATGCCCAGGGAGAAGAGTTTGCTCGGAGCCCAGGAGAGCAGTGGACCTTCTGATGTTGGCTCCTGCCTGCCGTGGCTTTTCTCACTAAGCCCTTTCCTGCGCCCTGAGCAGGGTATGGAGGACAGGTGGCCCTGTGCCCACCAGCACATGCCTCAGCCCTCGGCATACGCCACTGATGTCGCCACCCCAGCTCCCCATGGCCCTCAGGAAACGTCTGGGTCAGGCCCAGCCCGGCCTGCTTCCAGACTTCCCTTTGCCATGTCCGGACTTGCACCCTGAGGTCCTCGGAGTGCCATGCTCGTGGCACACAGCACCCGCTGACTGCCCACCTTTGTGCACAGGTCCCCGCCTTCTTTACAGGCTGCCTCCAGCTTGCTGGCCATCTCAGCCTCACTCACCACCTCAGCTGTGGGGCCTTGTTTGAGCTCTGTAAGACAGCATGGGGCCCTGATACCAGGGCTCCCAACACCGACCTTTTCTTGGTTGAGCCCCTGGCTGCAGGGGTGGAGATGTTTGGCCCGTGCTGTTGGCCCACCGTCTCCACTGCCAGGCTCACAGGCTTTTCTAAGGGAGGGCCTGCTCAGTGCCCCCACAACTCCAGCCCCCAGCACCCCACCTGCCCAGAGCAGCTGCTGGCAGTTGCATGAAAATTGTGAAGTTGGAGGAATTTGTTTCTCCTATTGTTAAAAAAAATCTGTGATAACAGAACAGCTATGCTATGAGTGCTCACCATGTACCGTGTGCCTTTCATACGCCATTTGATCCTGCAGTGAGTACTCTTGTCTTTATTCTCCAGATTTCTTTACTGAGGCTTGGAATGGCATGCTGCCCAAGCTACTTGCACAAGCTACTAAGTGGCACTTGAATTGGACCAGGTCTTCCTGACTTTCAGTGTGGGTGTGCAAACATTACCTCATGATGTCTCAGAGGAGTGGTGCAGGATCCCAGGAGACTGGCAGAACAGGTATTAATATCCCTGCATTTCCTGCTGGCCATGCTCAGAGGCCCTGACAGGGTTACTCTTGGGCCAGAGCTGCGTGCGACCACCCCCCAAAGGGTGGGGCCTGCCGCCCTCAGACTTGCAGAGGAGGCTTCCCTGAGCTGAATGGCTCCCAGGGTCTGGCTGGCAACACATTCTTGCCCACATCTCTCAGCTGCCTACTTCACGGGGAAGAGCACGGCCTTCCTTTCTCTGAAAAGTCAGCTGCCTGAGAAATACCAAGGCACAAGATACTACAGCAAGCCAGTGCTGGCCGGAAAGCATGCTCCCCAACCACCAAAATAAGGAGCCACACATCAGCAGATTAGCTGGTCCTGCCCACCCACCCATGGCCAGCAGACAGTGCCTGTCACCATCCGCAGGAACATCCTGATTTGTGTCCTCTCTGTCCTGCATTTCCCAGGTCACCCCCACCACCCCAGGCCACCAGGCAGGGGAAAGGCACATGCTGACCTCTGGTCATGGGGAAACTGCCCCATTCCAGCTGGTCAGGACCCATCCCTCTCCAAGGGCCAACACATCTGCCCCTCGCTAGGGGTCAGGATCCCAAGCATTTTATTAGTGCCCTACATGTCGCACCAAGCGGGTGCTCCACAGCCCGCCCTTCCACAGCCCAGCGAGGGGCCTCAGCCAAAATGCCTCTCTGGTTGTGCAGCAGGATAAACCCAGCCAGAGGAAGTGAACAGAAGTGCGGGCATGGGAAGCTCCAGTTCCTGAGGGTCCAGGCCTCTCCAGAGGCTAGAGCTCCGCCACTAGGCACTGTGGCCATTTTAAAGACACGAACTCTCTCCAAGATCCTGTGCTGTGAAAGGCCCCCTGAATCCGGGCCAGGAGAGCCAGAACTCAGGCCACCAGGTCTGCAGGCAGAGGCAGGGGGATGCTTCTAGGCTGGGGCTGCAGACACAGTGGTGGAAGCGGGGGTGGGCCGCAGGTGAGGGCTGACATGCTGTCCTCTCCTCCCTCGCCATGGGGAGGGGTGGCACCTTTTGGCCCAGGTGCATGGGCAGGCCTCTCTCCCTTCTCACCTCTCTGCCTCGGCACCAGCTTCCCCTGCACTGACTGGGATGGGGAACCCTGGCCATGGCCCCTCTGCACCAAAGCTGTCAGCCCATGTGCAGCCACCCCACCTTCAGGCCTCACTACCCTCCCTGCACCTGATTCTTCTGGCACAGAGCTCCAAGCCCCTCACTGCGGCCCCACCCCAGCCCATCCCCTGTTGGTAGTGCCCCTTGACACAGATAGCCCACCTGTCTGCTAGCACCCAGGTCTCAGTGACCAGGAGTGGAGGGCTGTGTGACCAGTCCCCTCACTGAAACACGCACAGAGCCTCCACTTTAAAGCTACGCTGGGCCCTGGAGGGAACAAGAAACAACAGTTAAGGGTCCTACTCCTCAGGACCTCGCGATCCAGGGCAGGGGTCTTAGCCACTGGCATAGGCTTTGCGGTCTCTGAAACTGGAAGCAGACGGTGCTTGCGCACAAGAGCAGGGAGTGTTTCAGCAGTGCTGAATGCTTAGGAGGTTTCTGGCCTCATAACGAGAGGAGTTCAGAACCACAAACCGGGGGGGCACCTGGCAGGCTGGGCTGTGTCCTATTCATGACTTAGCGTCTCAGCACAAGTCCTGGGATAGAACAGGCTTGGCATATTCCATGTGTTAGAATGAAGGAACTGAACTTCCAAGTTCAAATCAGCATACCTGCCAGGGTGCAGGGGCTTTGGATGCAGTCCTGGCCAGAGGGAGTTGCTGCCCTTCCAGGGGTGGTCAGGGCAGCACAGCTGCCCCAGAGAAATGTGTCTTGTACACAGCCAACACAGCCCCACTCTGACCTCAGAGCCTGGCCTTCAGGGTGCGTCCCTGCCCAGCCCCCACCCCAGGTCTCCCTTCCCTTTGCGGGAAGTTCCTGTTCCCCACGCGGCCTCTCCCACACGGGTGCTCTCCACTCAGCCAGCAGGTTTGCCCAGAGGGGACCTGCCACACACACCTGCCCAGAGATCTCTCCGTGCAGTGGCTCAGCTCCTGCTGGCTCCTTAGATTGGCTGGGAGAGGACCTGAGGGGAGGGTGAGGGCCACACAGACAGAGGCTGGCCTGGGGAGGCGGGGCAGGGGTGGGGCACGCTGTCCTTTGGGGGCCACCTTCCCCAGCAGCCCCCATGCTTACTCACTCCCTTCCCGCTGACACTGGCAGCTGCACCTTCTCAAGCCAGCATGTTCCCCAGCAAACTCTCACCCGACACCTTGCAAACCCCAGCACCCACAGAGAGAGCAGCTGGGCAGGCCCAGGAGAGGACCGAGTAGCTGACAGCTGCTACCTTGGGTGAGCCCTGGAGGGCCCGCAGGGCTGAACACTCAGGTCTCCAGGCCGGGTATCAAGCAGACGTGAGCACATCAGCTCTCGCACTCTCACAAGCAGCCCACAGAGTGGTTATTGCCCCCATTTTACAAATAGAGGAAACTGAGGATTCGGGTGATGGAGTCACACAGATTCAGTTAAGATCTTGTGTCCCCAGGGCCACCGTGGTGACGGAAGCCTTTGTCTCAAAGCCTCCCTCCAGTCAGCTGTGAGGTCTCCTGTATCTCTCTGTGGCTGCCACCGGCTGAGGCATTCCTACTCCGGGTGACAGGCAGATGTTCAGGGCCAGAGGCAGGGTCCTAGCTACCTGTGGCCAGGTCTGGCTCCAGTGCTGAGCAGCATATGGACAAGCTGCAGTGTTGGGAGGGGAGGGGACCACCTCTTCTGGAGGGTGAGCTAGCTGGGGGGGAGAGAGAGGGGGTGGGAACAGAGCACCAACCACTGGACTCACAGGTCAGTAGCTGATACAGGGCTCCCAGCCGTGGTACACAGCAGAACCACCCAGGGCTTTTCCCAAATGCCTGCCTGGACCCCCCTGGAGAGTTAAGTGACTGCACCCAGGTGGGCTTTGGCATGTATTTGTGGGTAAAGTTCTCAGAGGTTTGCAAATGCACCCTACTCATTTCCGAAGAGCAAGAAAGACAACAGCAGCCAGGACGTGCAGGAGCTGGCCTCTGTCACAGCTGGGCCCTGGCATCCTCCATGTGGGACATAAGCAACAGCACAGGGTATCACCATCAGGCAAGGCCACTCTGGGACGGCAACAGAGCAAGCCAAGAACAAGCTCTCTCCGCGTTCACGGCTGGGCACGCACAGAACACGCACGCCGTCCCGGCCACCCAGACCCAACAGCCCTCCTGGCTACTCCGAGGGTGCTGCTACTTTCCAGTTCCAGCTTCAGCCGCAGACTAGCGGCCCCTCCTCCCGGGTCAGAGTTCTCAGGCCTCGCCCTGCTTCCTCACCACATCGCCTGGGAAGCACAGCCCTGCCCCTGCCCGGGCCCACCTGACAGCAAGTCCTCTGCAACCCCGTCCCGCAGGCCGAGGGACCCGTTTCACACTCCCAGGACCCCACCCCTGAGGGCACTGCCTCTCGGGGGATCAGGCGCCCCAGGCTGGACGGGTTCCCAGGCCTACGCCTCTTAGAGCACCAGCCAGAAATGACACCCCGGGTGACGGACACACAGACGTGGTGATCCTAAGGACACCTTGTGCTGAGCGCTCACCCAAAGGAAGCCAGAATCACCGTGTCTCTGTGCCAGACCGCCTGCTGCCTGTGGCCACCACAGCCCCTGCCTGAGGCCCCCAGGAAGGGGCTTTGTTCACAGTGGGAGGAGCACCCTGAGAGGCTCCCTCAGGGAGCGCGGTGGCACCACAGAGGCCTGACTGACAGGTGGCAACCTGCACAGGCTGCAGGGCCACTGGACCGTCTCTGACACAAGTACACGGAGAAACTCCCCACGGTGCTGACAGCGGCCCTCCCCACTACTTCGTATGCCCTCGTCACCCCCTCCTGCACCTGCCCTCCCCTAGCCCCCACCCCATCCCTGGACACCCCTGCCGGGATTTCTGCGCTACAGCTTCAGGGCACCCCTAGAAGTCCGGGTCAGCCACCGCACCACACAGCGGGCCCCTGCTCCTGCTCAGCCCGGCTCTCTGCAGCCCAGCCCCGGAGGCTGTGTGCACCACCGCTGCTGGGCCGTAGCAGGGCTGGGCCTGGAGCCCTGATCAGCGGCTTCCTGTCTTCCTCCACCTCCACACGGAGGAGAACCGCCACCGGGACGCGCCTCTGCACTGGCGGTGCCTCCCTCCTGGCCACTTCCCATGTCCCTGCTCTGCTGCTGAGAGCATGCTTGGCCCTGCATCATGAGCCCTTGAGAGCCCAGCACCAGGGCAGGTTCCACCCGACTCCTCCGGCTGTGAGGAACATGTGTTTGGGGTGTTTGGGGGAAGAGAGAAATAGACACTGGGGGTGGGAAGAAAGCTCTGAGGAGACAGCGAACAGATGCCAGGTGCCCCTCTGTGAGGGCTGACACACGGGGTCCCCATGTTCTCATGACCTATCTGACTCGTGCCACCCGAGAGCATGGGGCTCAAGTGAGGGGGTGTCTCCCACCATGCAACGCAGAGAGCTGGTCCACACCGCGGCTCCCAAGCCACCAGCACGCAAAGGGACAGGCGCCCCACAGGGGTGGCTTCCAGACCCAGGCCTCCTTGATGCTCACTTTCCATGCTCAGGGGCAAAGGCTGTGCCAGAGGGACTGGTCAGCACCTGTTACAGCAGGGTGGGAGGGCTGCAGGCTCCACGTGCTCCAGCCTTGGCTTCTCCTCCGTCCAGGCTGGCCTAGGAGTGGCCCTGTTCCGAGGGACGGTGCAGCAGCTCCAGGTCTGCAGCTCAGCGACCCTCAGATAGGGTGCCTGCAAGACGATGCCTGTGTCCCAGCCCCAAATCCCAACCCACCCGGTCTGGGCGTATCTGGGATGTGACTTGCAGCTGCAGCTGAGGAGTGCCACAGCCTCGGGTCACCAGTGGCCCGGGGCCTGTCTGCCCTGGCCTGTGGTCCCCGGGGAAGCAGGCCGTTCACCTCTTGCTGTGCTTCGTGGTTCTCCTGTCATTGATTTAACCAGACGCCAGCGAGCACGGCCCCATCCAGGTTCCTGTCGGCAAGGTGCTCTCCGGCCCCAACAAGGCAGGAGGCAGGCAAGGGGTGGGCAAAGGGGAGCCCCACATGCTGGGACAGCCCCTCAGCTCTCCCTGCCCTCCCCTCATCTCAGGCCACCACCACAGAGATGGAGCACACAGATAGGAAGTGAGCCCTCTAACTGCTTCTTCTGCCCTGCTTTCTGTCTGTGCTGACTGGAGCACTATATATGGCTGAATTTTAAATTACATAATATATGATACACAAAAGGAAAAATAGGTTTATGTATGTTATGAAATAATAATATAATGAACATCTGCACATCTATCTCCCAATATTAAATGTGGCTGTTTTTGAGGTACTACAGTCATTAATTATTAAGTGCCACAGAAGCTGTGTTTGCACCTGGTGGGGGGTTTTCATGTGCACATGGAATGTGAAAGGCTCATTTTTGTGTCATTGTTTGTGGTCTGTCACATGTGAGAATAAGGAAGAAAAGCTGTGACTGAAGGAAGCTGAGCTGCAAAGGCAGCATGGGGAAGGGGTCTAAGCAAACAGAAGAGGCAATCAGGGAAGACTTCCTGGAAGAGGTGACGAAGGAGAAATGGGGCAACCTAGAAGAGGCTGGTACGGTGGGGAGACATCCCAAGACAGGGCAGCCTGTGAGTGTGGGGTCCCCCACCCATCACCTGTGATACATGAGTCACCAGACAGGGGGCCACAAGGCCTCGCAGACACCCCCCAGCAGGCTCAGACTGGTTACCCCAGGAGGGGCCAGGGGTCAGGCTTGGGGTCAGAACAGGCATTCTGAATACCATTTCAGAACAACAGAGTATCATTTAAGCCTCACAGTCTTGAACTGGCAAGGGACACACTGCCCATTTCATGACCGGGAAACCTCCAGGAAACTGAGCAGTCAGAGCTCATCCCGGGAGCCAGAAGCCAGCACGCAGGACATGGCCCGGTCCTGCCACAGCGTTCAGGCCAGCAGACCATGACGTCCCACGGGCCAGGAGCAAACTCAATAGCTCCTGGAGTTGTAAATGGCCGCTGCAGTCTCTGGTGGGCCCAGAACAAGCTGACCCTGCAGCAGGCAGCAGGAACCGCTTCCACTGGCCCAAGCGGAAAGGGCGGACAGGCGCCCGGAGCGGAGGGAGTCTGGGCAGCAGGGCTGAGCTTGGCCCCATCTGGAGAGGGTGGTAGTGTCCACGTCTCTAGGACCACCACCCTGGCCAGCCTGCCCAGGTCCTCCAGATGGAGGGGGCCCTGGGGCTTTGACGCAGCCAGCATCCTCCTGCTGGTTAATTCACTCGCCGGTTCAACAAGTGATTCCCACGACACACTGCGCTCCAAGCCCCGGCTGGAGCCTGCAACCTGGAGCAAGGGAACCGGACTCAAGGTATGGGTGTGCGGAATGGCTGGATAGGGGCAACCTGGCCAAGGTCACGGCTGCTCCTTCGGTTGGCAGAGGGCACAGAGTGAGAGTCTGGGGCAAAAGCACAGGTGGGGACCATGTCCCAGGGCCTCTCCCTGTGGCCACAGGTGAGGCCTCTGAAAGGCAGTGTGGGAGAGAAGGCCCCTCATGGGGAGGAAGCACCAGGCCTCGGACCTCTGAGGAGCAATATGCCCAGTGTGGTGCAGTCCAGGGTGGCAGGGAGCCAGTGGCCCTGAGGGCACCGAGGGCTCCTGGCAGGTGGCTAATCCCCATGCCTGGTCTCTTCTGCCCACGCTGCACTCTCTGCTTTGTTGTGCAGAGGGGACCCAACTCTTTAGGACTCATGGAATCAGTCTCTCCATGAAGTCTCACAGGCAGGGTCTCTGTGGCCTCGGGTGCCTGCTGTGACCTTTGCCCAGAAGAGCTGGAACATGCAGGCAATCCCCTTGCAAATGCTCCCAGGGCCCTGAGGTTTACACCCCACCCCAAAGCTGAGAAGCTGAGTGAGTCCTGGGGGAACTTAACTACATGCTATGGGGGTCGTTTGCTCCTTTCCTGCCAGCATCCGAGCAGCAGTTCTGCTTACGGGGGCGAGATCCTAAGATAATTTAGAAACTGGGCCCCACCCACCCTGGAAGTTGAGGGGGGCTGATATCCTCCCTTCCCACCCTCTAGAGGGCAGCTCAGCTAAGCTCCTGAGGACCCGCGTCTATAAGGGGGAGCTGGAGTGTTCTCTGTGAGCAGCCCGAGCTATGTCATGGGTGCACCTACTGTTACTCTCCTCTCCTCATCTCTGCCAGAGCCGGGTCCCAGGAGCTACCCCACACCCTGCCAAGACAGGTACTTCTTTCCACTTGACTGGAGTCCATTTCTGACTTTTGCAACTAAGAGCCTTCACTAAAGTGGTATCAGGATGATTACAGGCAACAGACCTTCAGGAAAGGATGCGGGGTATGCCCGGGATTGGTTATTCCACCTGGCTGAGGCCAAACGCAGTGAGAATCTATTGGGAATTCAGTTACGGAGCTCCACCATCTCATTGCTGGCATGGCAAGCCCCTGGTTGAAGCGGCTATGGCCAGGTGTCTACTAGGGGCTTTGAGGAGAAAAGGGACTCTCGCTACAAAACCTGAAAGGCATGAAGAATTCAAGTACTGTGGGGAAATGCTGTTGCCTCTAACTGCCCTGGCCAGCTTAAAGGGGGAACCACAAGCTCAGACCTCCGAGCCCCCAGGGACTCCCTGTGGCTGTGCACACATGATCTCTCCTTCCTGCCTCACATATCGCCGAGGAGCGGTCCAATCCCGTCACTCTGTGGTGAACTGTAAAGCTAGCTGAATGGACTGCCTCCCGGCTCCTCAAATGGAAGAGCCCTGTTAGGGAAGAGTGGGATCCCTGGCCTTAGGAATGGGGATCGCCAGGGGAGTCACCAACCCACTGTTATCACCCTGTCAGTAAGGGAGGCAGTTCTCCTCAGGCCCAACCCTTGATGCCTCCACCGCCTCCAGAACAGAAAGTAGAATCAGACCTCAGCACAGCCATGGGAACCATTACAAAGTCAGACTATGGAAGGAAGGGCTCTCTTTCAGAAATATGACTCTGCCAATACGCACTGGCAAATCCCAGGGAAAACAGGTGGGAATGGATTCTGAGGGGATCTGACCAAGGAGGAAAGAGCTTCATACTGGCTCAGGATGAATGTGCAGCCGTGGGCGCCCACTCATTCTCAAGTCGGTGTGCATGCTCCAGCAGTCAGGACATATTCCAGAAGGTGGGCTGCTGACTGACTAAAACCTCAGCCTGATATTGGCGCCCCCATGAAATGAAACTGAAAAGCCAGAAATTCCTTAAAGGAATCCAAATATCAGAAGCAACAGTGCTGGAATGGATTTATCAAAAGCAACCTGCTCACCACCTCGTATGTTCCCCCAAGTCAAAAAGACATGCCCTACCCCATGGCACAAGGAATACTTTGGCAAAAAGACTGTCAACATCTTGGAGAGCTGCTATGAAGCTGGTGATGCTGAGGAGCGATGCCACCTTCAGGGAGAATTCCACAGGCAGGGGTGGCAGGAGCTGGCAGGGCAAAGGAGAGCAGCAGCGTGGAGTACCAGAAGCCAAAGTGGCACCAGAGCATCCCGATGCCAGGGCTCTCTGGCACTGACCAATCAAATCAGGGGCTGCCAGGACCGAAATGGATGGGCGTCACCAACCAGGTCCTATTGAACTGTGTAATATTTTTAAAAATGTAAAAAAATTTTAACTATGTCTGATAGAAGGCTCCATGAGTGCCCAGAACAGTGTCTGGTCATTAGCAGTTGTTCAATAAATATTGGTTGATTAAACACCACTGCCCTTTGCCTGATTCCCAGACTTTAGTTAATAGACCCAAAACGCCTTCAGTGAAAGGAGGCTGGTAACCTGCAATACCGTCCTGAGCATATACTGTGAATCTTCCAAAGGCTGCTATATAGGGAAACACTAGACCTTTCAGGAATCACAGAGCACTGGCTCTAAGCTAACACTACTTTCCGGTGGCTGAGGATGGCACTCCAGCCCACCCCACATTCGAGGGCCTGTGGGAGGCGGGAGGCATGTCAGGTCATGAATGGAGCTGTGCTGGGCATCTCCTCCTGGCAGCCCACTAGGACCCTGAATCTGTTGCGTGGTGACCTCTCCAGCTCCTGACTGTTCAACTGGCAAAGATGCTCATTTCTTAGCAGAAACTTCACCCTTGGTTCCTTTTGTGGTAGGAAAGGCTAAGCAGAAGCCTCTGGAACAGCCCCTTCCCTCCAAAGGAAGGAATTATAAGCAATATTTCATCTCTGGAGACTAAGAAATCACTGACTAGGAGTGGAGACCCCTAACTGCATCCCCTGTCAACGTCCCAGCTTGGCTGTGCAGAAGGCACAGGGCCCTGAAGAAGGCCACTGGACTGTGATGCGATCCACAGCGGGGATTCTGCGGTGCTGTCCCACATATGCTCTCCCTAAACAGAACACATCTAGTATGATCCTTGGCTACTGATTTGGTGAGAACAATGCGTGTGTGTGTGTGTGTGTGTGTGTGTGTGTGTGTGTGTGTGTGTGTGTGTGTGTGTGTGTGTGTGTGTGTGTCCTGTCTCAACACTCAGTGACCAGCAGGAGGAGATTGCTTTCCCAGTACCAGGGCTGCGTCATGACTTCACCGCCCTGCCTCAGGGCTCCGCCAGCTCACTGATTCTTTGCCATAATTTGGTTAGCAGAGACCTTGACCTTTCTACCACAAAGAACCTCATGCTAACTGCGTTCTCCTGACAGGGACCCTAATGTGGACCAGAGTGTGGGGCACAAGTTCCATGGGCATGGCAGGATCTTCCACTTCAGTAAAGGATCCAGGCAGGCAGCAGAGGTGTCGGGTTGTCTGGAATACCTAGGGTTAGTTAGCCCCTTGAAAGCAAAAGACAGGTTGCTGGACCTTGGCCCCCTACCACCAAGTTGGATGCACAATCCTGGGTGGGCCTCTGGACTTCTGAAGCAATGTAACTCTTCCCAGGGTGTGCTGCTCCAACTCATTTGCTGGGTGGTCCCAAGGGCGGGGAGCTTTGCAGGGGCCATGCGCACAGATGGGCTATCTTGCCCACTTGCACTGTGAGGGCCTCTGTCACACAGCTGTCATGCCCCCTGGGCCCCACAGAGCCCTGAGTGCCCACAGCCAAGCTGGATGCTGTACAGAGAGGGTAGCAAGTCCCCACAGAAGTCTCTCCTGGGGCCTAAGTCAAAGACACCATGCCTACTGCTGGGCCTTGCTGAAAACTGTGTCTCTGCCCCAGAGTCTGGCGATAGGACCCCAACAATCTGCATTCCCCAGGATGAAGCACCATTCTCGATCAACCAAACAACCAAGTCAAGTACCCACCCTCAAAGTGTAGTCAATATAGGCCAGGCCCAGGAGGGACCAGGAGGTGACTGGAGCAGGCGGTTCCCTTCCCCTCCCACACCTGTGCCCTTGGGGGCATTCCTTACAACCAGCACTGAGGAAGAACACGCATGAGCTCTGTTTATAGGCGGCTCTGCAAGACAGACCTGCGCAGCCAGAAGGGGACTGCCGCGGCATTCAGGGCCCCTCCCAGTGACGGCTCTGAAGGAAAGCAGAAAGGGGGAGCCTCTGAGGGGTGTATCCAACCATCCTCGTGATGTGCACAGGGAGGCTGGCGGTGACTCAGGACCTCTAGAGACTGGGGATAGGCACTGGGGGCAGGGGACAAGGTGGGGTAGAGGGGCCTCTCAGAACAGGCGCGGAATGCGAGGACAGCGGATCCGTGAGAAACCTCCCCAGAGGTCTGCCTTCCCCAGAGGCTTCCAGCCAGCGGCGGGCAGGGTGCCTACCCTGGATGCCCAGCGACCTCTTCCCCAGCCACACCTGCCTGCTCCATGAGCTCCTGGGCCAGCTGGGGGTCTCAGATTCTGGCTGGCTGATGTCCCCTCACCTGGGCAACCCGCTGCCTCCACTGCCATGGATGGGGAAGGATAAGGTCCTGCCCTGCGTCACCTCTTTATAAACACACATATGTTTTGTAGTAAGATCTTCACACCCTGAAAGGTATGGAATTATTGTGCACAGCTTTCAAATGGGAAAACAAAGACCGAAGTGGCTAAGTGACCGTCTCAAGACCGTATAGCTTGTCAGTGACAGAATCAGGATTCCAAGGGCATCTGCGAGCTCAGAGGCACAGTCCGCCAGCAGCCAGGCCCCCGTGCCCTGCTAAGGCATCTCCTGCACTCACCAGTCTAAGTGGCATAGTATTAGTATGAGCTTAAAGGCTCCACCCTGTCCCATCTGCATCCAGGTAATTAATTCTTCCTGGGGGTGTTGGCTGATTCACAGGCTGCACTTCCAGAATGGCCGAGGAACACGCGGAGGGCAGGGCACCTGCAGATCCAGCCCCGGGTCAGCTGGCTGCTCACGGCTTTCCCCAGAGCCCTGAGCCAGAAAACTCCACCTGCTCTTCAGTTTCCCTCAAGGAGAAGGCGGCCTCCCAGCGAGAGGGGCAGCTCTGCCCTGGAGGACAACCTGGTCAGCTGGCCCTGGGCTCCCGGGCCACACGTCTCCCTCGTTTAGGCAGCAGGCCCAGCCTCCCCACCCGGCCTCCCACCTGCCTTCCCGCCTTGCTCATCTCGGGAGGCGGAGCTCAGCGGTCAGCCGCTGGCCACCCTTCCGACAGTGCCCTGGGGCCTGCTGCTCGCCTCGGGGGTCCCCGTCGCGGGCAGGGGAGGTGGCAATGCCCCAGGAGAGTGGGTCACCGTGGTCACTTGCAAGCAGTCTGGAAATTTGGGGCCTGGGGGGGGCACCTTGCACAGAGGTTTAACAGGCCCCCAGGTTCCTATTCTCCTCTCCACGTTTAACACCCCTTCCTCAGAATGATGCCCCAACCCCGTCGGTGCCCTGGCCTGCCCGTGGCCTGGGTAATAACACTATCAGCCACTTCCTGGGCACCTGCTGGGCCAGGCACTAGCCGTCCTTGCCAGAACCGGCGGTCCTGCGCGGAGGGCGAGACTGCCCAGCGCCTGCCTCCCGCGGGCGAGCAGGTGCTAGGGGGGCCGGGCTCGGGGCGGTAGCCTCTCCGCGGTGGGCCCGGGGCTGCTGTCCAGCCTGCCTCCGGGGGCACATCTAGGTCCCCGCTGCCGGGGTGGCCACGCTCCGGGGCTCCCGGTCAGCACGTCGGAAAGTTGGGGGCGGCAGGGACCGCCCGGGATGCCCCCCAGCCACCCGATGTGCAGCAACCGGTCCGGGCGGCCCCGTGCGCGCCCGCCGCCGTCCCCGCGCCCACCGCGGGCCCCGGGACGCTGACCCTCACCTTGAAGAAGCTCCGGAGGAAGTTCAGGACGCTGAACATGGTGGTCGGCGGGGCGCGGCGCAGGGCCGCGGAGCCGGGCACGGGCTGCCCCGCGCAGCACGGAGAGCCGCGGAGCCGAGCGGACCCCGGGAACGCCCCCCGCGCCCCGCCCCGCCCCGGGCCGGGCCGCCGAGACGCCCCGCCCCCCGCGCTTGGCCACCCCGGGCACGCGCGGTCCCCGCGGACGCACAGACCCGCCGGAGCCAGCCACCCACGCGGCCCGGGGCCCCAGGGAGCCCCCCCCACCCGCGGCAGGCCCGCGCTCGCTGAGCTCCTGGGGGGCCTGGGAGCCTGGCAGCGCTTTCTGAGAAGGGACAGGTGGACTCGCGCCTCCTAAACCTGCACGTGCACCAGACAGGCGCCTGCCGCGGTGCGCGTCCCCTCGGCCTGTCCGCCCTCTGTCCCACTCTGGGAGAGCGGCGGCCTCTCTTTCTGGCCGAGAGCTTTGCTTTTCAGACTTCGAGAAGTTTCAGAGCATTTATTTGCAATGTATTTCCATCTACCACTGTAGGCAGCTGAGGCCCGGTGAGGCTCAGCAACGTGCCTTTGCTCGCACGTCTGGGGAGAGGCAAGGGCGGGCGCGCGGAATCCCGAGGACCTAATTCTGGGTCTCTGGACTCTCACTTGCGCCCCTGTCACTGCGCAGGTGTGTTCCTGCAGGTAGGACCTAAGTGGAGAATTATCCCTCAGGTAGAGGAGAGCCCTTTTCTGCTAAGGGGCCAAGGCACTCCTGGCTGCTTTCTTTGGGGAGTTTAAGGAAATGAGGCTTGCACTCCAGCTCGCCATTAGGGCCACAGTATATTTATGGATCAACCGAAATGTTTCAATTTAATTTCTTTTAAAATCAAAAGAAAAAAAATCTGAGTAGAATAATTACAATATCATCATCCAGCCTAGATTATATTCATCTTTATCTGAACACAATTATAAAAAATTATTTTAAATACATGTATTTTTATGCTGGAAGGTGCTCACGAAGGAAAAGTTCCAAGTGCCCCCGGGAGTCATATTGCAGTCCTGCCCCCAGCCCACTATTCCTGGGGTCTGGAGTCTCGTGGAGGCTTGGCATCCACCCAGAATGGCCCCTGCCCACGCTTGCACCCCTCATGCAATTCCTGGCCTCCTTGGATGCTATTCTGGTCATCAGCACAGTCCAGTGTTGCCTGGTAGAGTGTTTTCCCCCACATGCGACCTACCTCCACTTTTCCCCAGGACCGCAGAGCACCCGGGCCAGGGCGGCAAGCCTGGGAGGTATATGACTAGAGTCTGTGAGGCCGCTGTGGGATATTCTGAAAGTCTTGCACTGCACATTATATTCCTTATAGCCCAGGGCCCAGACCTTGCTAGAAACGTGCCCCTAAGGCCCCTCGTGGTGGTGGGAAATGCGTAGGATTTGCATTTGGATACCTGGCTGTGCGTTGCATAACCTGTGTGACCTTGGTGCCCCCTCTAAACGTGATTCTTTAACATGAGAAGAAGATGGGGCTGATGGAATTGCTGTGAAGATGATAGGGGAAACTAAACCTCAAAGGGCTCAGCAAATGTTAATTCCCTCGTTTGAATCCTTAAAGTGCTAAAGCCTCCGAGCAGTCCAGTGAAAATACACCCTCCCCGACCACACGTTCCACAATCACCCTGACTTTTTTGTTTGACCCAAGGAGGAGGCCCTGGATCACAGTTCTCAGGCGGGAGCAGGTATCAGAACCACCTGACAGGAGGTTGGGCTCAGGCTGCCAGGCCCACTGCAGAGCTTCCGGGCAGGGACCTGAGCATCTGTGGGGCGCAGGGACCACAGTCAGAGAAACCCTGGTCCAGCCTGGTAGCAGAGGAGCAGCCCCAGGTCAGAGAAGGACAGTCCTAAGTGTTCTACTCAGTAAGCACTCCCCAGTGTCCAGCCCTAGGCTAGGCCCTCCCTGGAGCTTGTGTCCTCTCTTGGAAGTCCTGGAGAGCATTGTTGCTTAAGGGGAAATCAGTCAAATGTAGTCTATTTCTGATTTTCCTTCTCAAGAACATTGTTTTAGAACTTGGCTGCCATGTGGAGTTAAATGGTATGGCTCTCTGCTTTGTTGTTAAAAGATGAAAGGAAAAAGATGGGCAGTTGCCGGGGTTTAGAGGTAAGAGAGGGATGAATAGGCGGGGCACAGAGGATTTCTAGGATAGCAAAACTACTCGGTCAGATACTGTGATGGTGGGTATGTGTCATTATACATTAGTCAAAGCCCTCATAGAATGGCCAAGAGTGAACCCTAATTAATGTTAACTATGGACTCTGGATGATAGCATGTGTTGTAATAAGTGCATCAATTGTAACAAATTGTAGCTAATGAACCTCTGTGGTGGGGGTGCTGACGATCTCGGGAGGCTGTGGCTGGCAGGTATATGCGGAATCTTTGTACCTGCCTCTCAATTTTGTTGTGCATCTAAAACTGCTCTAAAAATAGTGTATTAAAACAAGCAAATAAACAGACAGGCTTGTGAGATTTGCAGCAGGATTTGCACAACAGGGATCCTCATCAGCCAGTCTCACCGTGTTTTAACTCTGGGATACCAATTTTGAGTGTGTCCCATACTGCAGTAAAGCATGTTCAGCAACTGGGGGCGGGGGTGTTGGTGAACCAAATGGTCAGAGGAGACATTTGTACCGGATGCCAAGAGATACTGGGATGGCAGGAAACACGGGGCTCAGCCGACAGCTGGGCCCTGGCCTTCTGCACTGGTCAGCCCTCCCTCTCTTTATTTCTTTGTCCCAAGTCCCCAGGTGCACATACAGACAGATCTACACCACCGGCCAAAGTCTGAGTCACAAAGGACAGAAAATGCCCCCTTTGACAAATACAGCAGTGTGGGGGTTTGGGGAAGAATACTGAGTAGGGCACAAATCCGTAGACAGGTGGAGGGTTGCTGACTTGGAGAACTGGCAAAGCAGGGCGGAGATTCTGCAAGAGAAACCATCTCTCTGGAGAGGTAGATGCTTGTCCCTTTGCCTGAGCTCACTGCAAACACTCGCACATTGTTCCCAGTCTCTGCCTCCCTCCACCTCTGCCAGTGGCCTCCTGGGGCTCTGGGCCTCATCAGCACCCAAGATGTAGAGTCCCAGATTGCCTGACTCTCCTGCCACGCACCTGCTCCAGAGAGCTGACGGCAGGGAAGCGCTGAGACTTCAGCTTTCTTGGTAGGAATCCAGCCTGCCTGCGCTGTTGTCACCAAATGGGGACAATTCATGGACACATTAGAAACAATTTAAAGGAGCTCCTCAGACTGGAAAATTTGGGCTGACACCAAACGAGCCTGTTCTGTGGGGTGAATATGTAGTGTTGGACTGAGACTGAATCCCTGCTAAGAGGACCGGTCTGCAGAGGGCCAGCAAGCCAGCCAGGGAAGCCCAGTGCCCATGGTCACCCACGGTAGCAGACACAGCAGCGCCGGTGTCCCCTCTTGCCCTGGCCCCTCAGTGGCTTTCCTGCCCCACCACCTTGGCTCTCTCATGCCCAAAAAAGTGAGTCGGATTTTCTTGGGGACCTGGGACAATGTGAGATGTTTCTGAAATGGTGGCTTGTGGAAGGCTTCCCCCGGGGGCCATCAGGTAAGGAAGCAGGTGCAGTGTGCTCGGTGCCTAGAGCTGGGGCGGCCCTTGATGTAAAGAACGTGCCGACCGCAGCAGGTGTTGAACCTCCGGCCGAAGCACAGAGCCAAGCAGAGGCTGACACACCCCTAAGGAACACAGCAGAGCACCTGGCAGAGTTTCTGAGGTTCCAGGAGGATTGTGTGTGCACGCAAGGGCCCCAGGGCCCTGGAGGCTGAGCCCCTTGCCCAGGATTCCCCCTGCCACCTATCTTTTGCATCCTTTCTGCCTTTCCCCAGGTGCAGGAACCATAGGCAAGAGGCTCCTCCTATCCAGGCTGCTCACACACCTGAGCTCACCACCTGTCCTGAGGCTAAAGCATCAGCCCCACCGGCAGGTGAGGAGGCCGCTCACCTGTGCCCCCAGCCCTCTCTGTCCTCATCCCGACAGTCTCTGTCGGACCCTCTTTTTGTCACTCTGTGTCTCCAAGGCCCTTGCTCCCCTCATCTCTTTCTCCACCCTGTCCCCTGCCAGACAGAGGCCCATGCAGACCCACTTCCCTGGCTGGGAGGAGGCCTGGGAGAGCCACTAACAGCAGCCACCAAATGGGCCCGGTCCTTGGCAATGCACAGAAATCCCTCGAGCAGAACAGGAGCTTGGAAGCAAGGAGAGTTACCTGTGTTTCTGTTCTACCACCTGAGGAAATCACGATTCTGAGAGGCCAGACACCCTGTGTGATGGTCCCGGCAGGGCAGCAGGTGGGGCCCGGGCCCTAGGAGCGCCAGGCACAGCTGGAATCTGGCCTCAGGGGCCGATGAGTCCAGAATGCGGTGTGGGGCAGCCAGGGCCTGGCTGGCCAAGCAGGGTGGGAGGGAGCCCTGGGGGCTGAGGTCTCTGGGCAGCTGCACAGGTGGGACCTTGACCAGGGTCAGGGATTCAGTGAGGAGGAACTCCATGCAGGCTAGGTGGGGGTACCCACAGGCTCTCTGCGGGCCCCCGGCCTGGCTTGGCCCTGAGTATTCCCATGAGGGTGCTGGTCCAGGAGGGAGCGGCCGCTGAAGAGCCTGTTTCCTCTGCTGCACCCCAGGGCTTGGGGCTACCGGGGACACAGTGACTGGAAGGGGCTGGGAGGCAGATTGAGGGGCCAGGGGCCTGCTGTGGCTCACCAGGAGGCTCTCGTACACGCTCCCGTTGCCCACGTCCAGGCTGATGAGGATGCCCCCTGGGGCGGAGCTCCTGGGTGAAGGCAGGGCAGCTCACACTCCCAGGCAAGTCTGCGCGTTCTCACCCTCATGGTCCCAGCACTGCACAGACGCTAGCGCCCCTTGCACCAACCCCACCTGAGCTCCGGATGGGCCAAGGTGTCCTTAGGACTGATATCTGGGGGCATCTGCTTCTGCCCTCAAAGGGCTCCCAGTTGAGGGAGGAGGCAAGCACTTTGTAGGGCCTCGGCCGGCTTCCTGGAGGAAGTGTCTTCCACCCACACAGACACATGCAGTGTGCAAACAGCAA